GCCGGCCAGCATAGACTGCTGGTTGTTAAGCGAGTGCCTCGCTTGCAAAGGCTGCCTTGATGAAGTGTGAGACAGCACTTACGGAGGGACACGGGCAGGCATTCTCGCTCCATCTTCCGCTCACAGTGCCGCTCTTTATGCGCCTGACATTTGCTTGCTGGAAAGGCCCCGAAAATCAGGGGGAAAGGAAAACATTGCCTGCAGCAGGGCCAGAGGGGCACTGGGAGGAGTGCCGTGCCATGCGGTGCAGTGCAGTGCCATGCTGGGCTGGGCTGGGCTGGGATGCTCCATCCTGGCCTCACTGCCAGCTCTTCCCTAAGCGACCCCTTCACCTCTCGGCAGCCCTTGGGCTGCCTTCCCTTGCCGACACTGCTGCTTCCTGCCAGGTGTGCTCAGCCTGGCTCCCTGCCTGGGAAGCCCGGGCCATGCTGCCCTTGCCTTCTCCCCGGGCGGGCTGGCAGCACTGCCAGCTCTCCTTGCTGCTGCAGCGTGTCCCCAGGGCTGTGTGTGGTAGAGGGTGATGGGGACACTGCGAGATCAAGGCAGGTCCCTCAAACATCCACTGCTGGGGTAGGCAGTGCCTCAGGGACTGCTGCAGCACTGTACGAGCAGATCCAAGGGCCAGGGGAGCTGGGAAAGGGTATCAGTGGTCAGTGTGGGGCAGCTCAGGGTGCTCTGGGGCAGTTCTGCCCCTAAAAGAGATGGTCACTGCCCCACCAGGGAGCTGGGGTGGGAAGCCAGGCTGATGCATCCAGCTCCATCACAGGGGAATTAGCTGCCCCTTTTCCTGACCTCAGTCCAAGCTGGAAAGGAGCAGTTCAACCCCCTCCATCTCTATCCCTCTGCAGGTGAATCCTGGGGGATCCCTTGGACTGGAGGTGTTGACAAACATGGCTGGGTGAGTGGCTAGCACAGATCAGTGCTCATGTATGCAGATCCTGGATTTGATCCCTCCCCAGCCTGACGGACACTGGCAAGGCCATAGGCAGAGATGCCCAGCGACCATCCAGCAAACCACACCAGCCCCATTCCCATGAGCATGCACAAAGCAGGGAAGAGCACTGAGGACAGCCTGGCCACAAGGCACAGGAACGCCCCAGCCATGAAGCCCTTCCCCATCTGCGGCATTGCCAGGCTTTGCCCATGCCAGCGCGGCAGCGGCCGTGCCCATCGCTGGAGAGCTGATGTGCCATTCCTGGGCCACAACTCCAGCATGCCGCTTCTGCGGAGCCCACTGGCAGGGGAAGCCCAGGGAGGCCATGCCCCCCCCCCCCCCCAGCCCACACCCCTTGGCTTCCAGCCCCAGCAGGAATTATTAAGTGTGCCCCAGTGAAGCACATGCTGAGGCCGGCCACGGGAATGTGGGCAGATCTGGCATACAAGCCACAGCAGCCAGGCTGTAATTTCCAAACAGGCCCCGTTTGCTCTGTTTTCCAGTTAAAAATATATTAAGAAATAGGAATGTAGGGTTTGTAGAGAAGAAAGTTGGTAACCGCTTCGAGCATCTGGTGTGATAATGAAAGGGTCAGTCCCCAGCTTTGAGCGCGACCAATTTAGACTCTGGTGCTTGGCACCGGCACAGGGGCTGCCTGTAAACCCCGCCCAGGGCAAGGTGATGCTTCTGCAGCAGTGGCAAGCTGCCGGGCTGGGTGACGTGCCCCTCCTGCGCTCACTGTCAAGAGGACATCCAAATTGCTGTCACTTGTGGCCTTTAGAGAAGGGAATCTGGGCAGGGACAGGGGAAGGCAGGATGCCTGGGTGATGGATGCTGTATGCTGCCCACCACTAGACCTGCCAGCCCCCTCCCCCCTGGGATACAGCACATAGCAGTGCTCTCCAGGATGGGGGGCAGAGAGTGAGGAGGGGGGCAGTGAGTGAGGCTGCAGCCCAGCTCCCTGTGACTGCTCCCACTGCTATAGGGCTGATGGTGAGCGTGGCTTGCTCCTGGTGTGAGATCAGACAGACACTTGCCCCCCTTCACCAGACAGCACCCCCGGCTGAGCTAATCGCAGTTCAGGGTGTGCTACAGAACCTCCCACACCGCTGTCGCAGCCTTGAGTCACTCCTGATACAGTGGCATCCTGCTTGGCCTTGTGGCCAGATAGTCATAACACATGGGCAAGCTGTGCCACCTCCCCTGGCATCACTCCCCTGTGTCAGCTTTCTGCTTGGGCTGCTCCGCAGACCTCGGGCATCATGTTTATCCTGGAGATGGGTAATCAGAGAAAAACAAGTGACCGGAGGCCAGGGCTGACACTGTGGTGGGACAAGAAGTTAGCTGCAACAGGGTTCAGCGGAGGGATGTGCTGGGGTAGTAGGGCAAGGCAGGAGGGCAAAGAGACAGGTACGTGGGGCTTGTCCCCCACTCAGCCCCTTATGGGGACACTTCCTTGTGCCTCCCAGCCTCCGGGGCCATCAGGTGGCCGGTGGCTGGCACAGCACGCTCCGCTCCCTTCTGAGTCACGGCTCTGCAGGGAAATGCTTCCAGCTCTGGTTATAACCCCGTTTCCCACTGGGGCTGTGAAGTGCGGCCCTCCCACCCCGGCGTGGATCAGCTCCGGCAGCCCTGAGCCTGCCCGGAAGGGCAGCGCCAGGAGGTGGCCAGTGACTCCCGAATTCCACCCTGGGCTTGTCAGAGCTGGACGCTTCCCAGAGGCATGGGCACCTGGCGTCCTGCACCTACAAAGCCCTGTGCCACCAAGGATGCCCATTCCTCTCCCATTATCTCCCCAGGGTGCCACCCCAGCGTCTGTGCATATGCCAGTCTCAGGGACACTGGGTTGTTGCAAGCACAGCAGGCACTCCACAACATTGCCACGTCCTCAGGAGCACCATGGGGACATTGTGCTGGCTCTGGGCAGCTGCTGCTGAGCACTGAGACAACAGCTGCCCTGCCTGGATCCTTGCTTGGATGCTGGGAAGAGGAGCAACCTGAACAGCCATGGGGCCCAGGGCATGTCCCAGGTGCCATCCTGCACTGCAGCCCACATCCTGGCTGGGGTGTGCAGCACCCTATGCCTGGGTACACAGCCTACCCTATCTCCCTGGCACTCCCCAGGGCCCCCTTGGTGGCAGGGAGAGGGGGTGGGCAGAAGGGTAGTGGCACCCAGGGCTCGGTGGTTCCACAGGGGACTTTCCTGCCCTCCTGGGGCATTGACCCATGCAGTGCTATCATCTAGTACACTTTGCTCACTCCACCACCATTCCTGGCTTTCCTGGGAGCTGCTGTTTGCTTTTCTGAGAGTTACGGCTCCAGCTTCTGCCTTTGATCTGGGCTGTGTTGGTCACCCGTTGCCAGCCCCTCGCCTGCCTTTGAAGTGCAGTCGCCTTCCCAGCCTCAGACGCTGCTTTTGCAACTTTCAAGTGCAACCTATGGAGTGAGACACCCAAGGCCAGAGCGTCCCCAGGGTGTCCCAGGTCCTCAGCATCCCTCCTTCTCCCTGGCATCTTGTGGAGGGCCAGGCAAGGAGGCATTGCAAGGTGTGTTTGCCCAGAGGCCTGCATTCCTGGGGATGCTGGCAGCGGCCTGGACCCAGAGCATCACTCCCTCCTGTGGCAGAGGACAGGGACACAGGAGGTCCTGCACATAAGCTGGCCAAAAAGCAGACACTGATGCATGTCCTACAGCTGAGGGGCCTATCGTGGCGACAAGTCCAGCAGGAGGGGTGGGACCCAGCAGAAAGCATCTTTCTGGGCACCATCCACCCCACCCTGCCATTAGCCCTCCCTCCCGTCCAGCAAGTAGCTGCGAGGGGGCCCAGCCTGCCCTTTCTGACACAGGAAAGCTGGGGCCAGGCTTGGACTCTGGCCTTGAGCAGGTCTCAGCATGGATGTGCCTCCCCACTCCCCTGGCCCAGAGAGGATCCAGCCTTATCTGTTACACTTTGTTCCCCTGCTGTCTGGGTGTGGATTGGAGCAGAGATCAGTGTGCAGACCTTTGACGCACAGACACAGACACACACACACACAGACACACACACACACCTACTACCACACAACCAGCCACGCATGCACCCAGAGCCATGCTGCTCTACACACAGCTGTGCTTGCAGTCCCCCTGCATGCAGACACACTCACACTCACCCGCATGTGTGCGCAGCCCCCTGCATGCAGACACACTCACACTCACCCGCATGTGTGCTCACATGCCCTGCTTCTCCCGCCCCTGTGCAGCCACCCCTCCAGGGCACACACACATTTCCCTGGCCCTGCACGTGTTTCAAGCTATGTGCTGCATTATGTTCCCAGTGCAGGGTGGTGCTTGCCCGACCTCCCAGCCTCCCCATCATGCAAGCCAAGGTCCCCCAGGCACATCGGCATGGCCCAGACTGTGAGGCTGGCATCCTGCAGCCCTGGCAGAAGGAAGGGGGCTTCCCTGCATCAAGCCTGGAAGAGCAAGAAAGTGTGCAGGGAGGCAGGAGCTACCCTAAGCTCAGGCTGAGACCTGAACATCCTTCATCTCACTGTCACATCGCTCTCACTCGCCATGGAGCCACCAGGGATGCTTGTGCTGCCTGCATAGACATCTCTGGAGGCAGCCGTGACAGGCAGGGGCTCCCTGTCCACACCTCATACCGAGGTCCTGCCCCTGCCCAAGACTCATTGGCCTTACTGGCGAGCTGCAGCCCCTGTGCTGCTCCAGCCAGGGAAGCTGCAGCCCTTCCCTTGTAATCTTATCTCCGGTGTTTGATGAATGACTCGCAAGCCTCAGCTGTCAGCCTCGGGATGGGAAGGCAGCTCAATGGCCGGAGCAGGTGTGTGCGTGTGTGCACATGCATGTGTTCGTGTGTGCGTGGCTGGGGAGCAGCCACAGCCTGCCCAGTGCCAGAGCTGGCCCTGCGAGCTGTGCTGTGGTCCTTGGGGTTAAGCAGATGGAGCCCAGTGTGCAGAGGGGCGCATAGCCCCTTCTCTGCCCCATCATGGGAGGGTGTCCTGCAGGAAGTTGGTCCTGGCAGGTGATTTCGTGGCAGGCTGATGGTGCCTCTGCTCTCCCCCCACAGAGCCTGCCCCAGATCTGCGGTGCTGGAGAAGGGCAGGCATTTACCTCCACTTTGCAGCAGCTCTACATGGCAGTGACACAGCAGGAGGCCAGGCAGGCTCAGAAACGGCAGCACTCAGGTGAGGAGCTCCTTGGCTGTGGGATGGGGAGTGTGTGAAGCACTGGCCCCCACCATGGCTGTGCCCCCATCCCCTGGGAAGGGGAGTGGGTTCCTGGGTGTAGCTCACCCCATGCAGCAGTCTTCCCCTTTGCTTTCCCACATGGGCTGAGCTCCACACACAGGCACTGTTCCTGGTGGGGGTTTTGGCCCCATGCTCCCTTATCTCAATCCCAAATTGCATCTCTTTCTGCTGGTACCAGAGGATGCTGAGGACCCGGCACCTCCTGCAGAAACCACAGGTCATCCCCATCCACCACCTTCATCCCAGGAAGATGAAACAGCATCTTCCAGTGAGGGAATCACAGTGAGTACAGCTCTAGAAATAGCCTCTTCATTCCAATGGCAGGATGAGGCCTGCATCTCCCTTCCCCCTTCACATCCCAGCCCCATGCTTTTCCAGGATGAGCCAGGGCATCTCTGCTTGGTTCCTAGCACATCATACACAGGGTGTATGCACAGGGTGTATGCACATGCACCCTGGCTGGGGACCTTGTGATTGCACATGTGTGTGATTTGCACTTCCCCACATTGATAACAGGAGTGTCACTGCTTGCACACACACCCCCATCCTGCGTGACCCCCAGGGGGAGATACTGACAGTGCCTCCCCTTTGCTTCCAGCCAACGTCCTCCCCAGCTCAGAAGCCCCGGCTGCCTGCAGCCAAGACCAAGCCAAAGAAGGCAAAAGGGCTCTTCAGCTGAAGCATCACTGCCACCCAGCCTGAGGGTCTCTGCTCCCCCCGGTATCCAAGAGAGGCAGTGCAGAGCACCCATGGGTGCTCTTCATCTCCTGCACCACCTGGCAGACCCTGCCCGGCTCACGGTTCCCTCCTGAGGTGTCTCCAGCCAGGGAGATGGGGCATTGCCTTTCTTCAACCATGTCTCAGGAACCTCTTTTCTAGCTCTCTCCTGGTGCAGAGCTTGCTCAGGCTGCCTCGTGGTGGAGCCAGTACTGGAGCAGGGGGCAGTGGGAGGCATGCTGCTGGGTGGGTGTGGGACAGCCATGCCCTGGCAAGGCTGTGGGGGTTGTCTGCTGTGTTGGTTTGCAATAAAGGACTGTGTCTGGGTGATTCCCTCTCCTGCTCTGTCCCTCCTGGGCCTGAAGTGTCCAGGCAAGGGTGTAGCCCCTGGTGCTGCTGGGTCCCCCTCAAGCCATTCCTGCTGTCCAAGGGCTTGCAGCAGGACAGTGAGGAGATGACAATGGCTCATTGCTGTGGGGCAGGACAGCAGCTCCCAGCCCCTGCTGTGCCTCACCCTAAGCACCAGTATGCGGGGTGTGCATGAAGGGACTCCCAGATACTGGGACACAGCATCCTTGTCCCACGCCAAGGACACACCATGTGCTGGTGCCTGGAACCAGGTGAAGCTCCTGCAGCAGCAGGTTGGCAAAGGCAGACTGTCTGGGCTGAGGAGCACCCTTCATTTGCAGTAGCTCCCTCGGGGTTAGTGAGCAGGTGATATAAGGGGTTCTGGCCTTCAAGGGGCTGGGGACAACCGAGCCACTAACACCCTGAAAGCTCCTCGGCCTGAGAGCAGCCGTGGAACACATTACAGATGCTCCCTGGACACAAAGTACCACCTTTGCCCCTCCACACTCAGTCCATCCCTCCATCCATCCATCCATTAACCCCTGCGCTCTTCTTCCAGCCACTGTGCTTCCTTTGGGGCTGGGGCCACATTCCTGTGCCAGGCAGCACTGCCATGGGCAGGCTGCAGCCTGCGGTGCCACTGTCCTGGGGCAGGACCTGTGCCTTTGTCTGCCCTGCTCCCTGGGACTGGGCCAGCAGAGTCCAACTGCCTGCTCTTCTGGGCAGCACGGGGGAAACAAAAACATCCGGAGCAGCCCCTGTGTCTGTAGAAGAGGAATGAAGGGGTCTTTGCAGGACCATGGCCAGCCAGTCCCAGGGTGAGAGCAGCCAGCTGCTTTTTGTATTTCCTCTCTGAAGGAGCAGCATGCAGGGCAAGGTGGGTGGTGAGATGGGGACGCCGTGGGATGGTAGCTTGTGCTGACAGCTGTAGCTATGAATCCTGCTTTCTCCCACCTGCCAGCATCTTTTCCTCTCAGATTTGGGTCTGCCTGCCAGGTACTTGCCCCCAGGGAGGGTGCTGTTACCAGCTCAGGGGGTAGGACCGGGGTAGCAGTGGTTCTGCAGCTCTCCATTTCATATGTCTTCTGTCACCAGGTTTTCCCCTGGTGCAACCCCTGTTCCATCCATGTGAGCTCCATCTCCTGGTATGGGAGCTGCTCTGTTCCAAGCGAGGTCCTTCAGCTCCCTGCTGGGTCTTGGACTCATGCTGCTCCCCTATGCATGCAGGTACATGCAGGAGGAGGATTTATTGCCCCAGCAAGGGCACCTGGGTTGTCTGTGTCCTCTGGCAGGGACATAATAGGGGGGGAGGCACATTCGCATCCCAACTGTGCCAGTGGCTGGTGGACTCTGTAGAGGAGTGGTTAATGCAAACCAGCACCTGTGCCCCTCAGTCATCCTGAGTACCAACTGCACTTGGGCTGTGTCTCTGCTTCTCTCAGGGGTGCCCAATCCAGGCGAGCCAGCCCCAGGGATGCTGCAAGGGTGTGGCTCATGAGTCCTGTTCTGCTGCAGAGTGTGTCCCCTATGGAGCCCCGTGGCCCTGCCCCCAAGGGATGGGCGAGCACCCATAAGCAAGACTTGCTGCAGGGGGAGATCCTGCTCCACTCACCCTGCTCCCAAGGCAAGGGAAAGTGGGCCTGCAGGAGCATGGATGGAGGGAACAAATAAAACCAGGAGAGTGAAGACATCAGTGGGAAAAAGAGGTCTGCCAATGCCCCCTAGGCCACCGCAGGGACCCCGGCCCCCAAAACTCCAGCCTGGGACTGCCAGTGCCTCCCCGGCCGAGGTTGCCGCTGGCTCCAGGGAGTGTCACCGCTCATTGTCCCATCCTGTCCCACTGGGGTCTCCTTTCCTATTCCCACCCCCTCCTCCTTGGAGCCGGCTGGATTTGAGCTCCCGACACACATTAAAGGCCACAAGTTCGGCCTCGGCCTCCATAAATTTGATTCCATAAATATTGGTTTTTGCAGGGTTTAATGAAGCCGTTATGCCGGGCACGGCCCAGCACCCCGACCCGTGCCCTTAATAAGGGCTCTGTGGCCTCGATTAAAGGGACCTTTCAATCGCTGTCAAGTATTTTTAGAAAAGGAAAAGAAAAAAAAAAAAAAAAGGAGAGAGGGAGGAGAAGATGAGGAAGGCAGCGAATGGGAGAGGAAAATCCCAAGCCCATCCACTGCAAAAGTGGAGAAATAGCACCACCTAGACTGCCTCGCCCGGCTCCGCCGCCCGCTCGCCAGCCCCGGGCAGCCCTGTGGGACCTTGTGCCAGCGCCGGGCCCCTGCCCCGGGCAGCCCTGGCGGCACAGCGAGGTGTCGGCCGGACGCTGCGCTCCCACTTGGGCGGTGCGCTCCGGGCTGCAGTGCCGGGGAAGGCTGAGGTGCGGAGGAAGGAGGGACTTGGTCACGGTGGGGATGCAGGCAGGAGCAGTGCGTGGTGACTGGGTGTCCTGGCGCTGCCTGAGAATGGCTGAGTGTAGAGGGAGATACTGTACGATACGGGAATGGATGCTGCATCCCTCACACCTCCACTGGAAGGTAATTCCTCCCTGTGACAGTGCTGCAGCAGCAAGTGTTCTTTCCCATCAGCTCCCCAAGCAGAAATCCCCTCTCACCCCTTGTTAGGTGGACACTGTCACAGCCTTCGGCTGCCACCCCACAACCCCAGCTCTGGCTGCCCTGTCATGCCTGGGGCTCCTGTCCCACTTGGCCCTGTGCGCCAGTGGGTTTTGCCTGGCAGGGACACAGGCTGGCGTTGGGAATGCTAGATGGACTCTGCACCCAGTGACAGAACACTGTCACTGCTTGCTGTGGCCAGAGCCCATGCAGGATGCCGGGGCCCCTGCCTGGATAGGAGCTGCTGTCACAAACCAACCTAGCTCCCTGTCTGCACCCCTGGGCTTCCATGGGACATGCATGTTGTACCAGTGAAGGTAGGGCTATGCTGCTTGCTGTCAGGCTGGAGCTGATGGGAAAGGGACAGACGTGTGTGACATGCATACTGCATGCTGGTAGACTGCAGAGGCTATTTGGAGTTCTGGGTTTGGGTCATTGGCAGCCATGGGCACTTCTCCCTAGGGATGTGCTGCACTCCCCAGACCCAGCACCATCCCAGATAAACCTGTTCCCCACTCCCTTCTGGCAGTGATGAGCATAGTGGGAAGCTGGGCTCTCTGCTTTGGTTTGAGTATAGAGCATGAAGCACGTGAGGACCCTACAGACCTAGCCCAGTCTCTGATTTTCCTGTGCCTGTGATGCACAGAAAGCTGTGTTACTTCTGTAGCCCTGGGAAGCCAGGGATAGGGATGGGGAGCACTGCTGTGACACGTCCCCTCTGCTCCATCTGCTGATGCCCTCAGGATGCTCCACTGATCAGCTGAGGAGATGTGGAAGTGAGGTGGCCTGGAGCTGCTGGCCAGACCCTCCTGCTCCTCACCAGCCTTCACAGTGGCTCTGGGCACTGGGTGCCCAAAACAAGTACAGAAACCCGATGGAGTGTGGCTGCTGAGTATGAAAACCTGATAGAGACAGCTCTGGCCAACTGTACTTTGCTTGCAGCTCCTGCAAAGGAAATGGTCCACTGGAGCCACTGGATAGCAGCATCCTAAGCTGTGGGTGCTGATAGCACTCCTGCCTGCATCCCTCTTGCCCAGGCTGCCTGATCCTGCTGAGGCCAGCACAGTCCTGCAGCCAGAGGTGAACGCCTGACTGGACTATTCCAGCCTGGCCTCTGTGTATCCCTGGGAATGACCTGTGCCCTGTGCCCACTGAGGCGATACCAAGGGTGCATCCCTGGGAGAGTTGTGTGCATGGGGGCATCCCTGAGATAGTTGTGTGCACAGGGCCATCCCAAAGCACTGTCTCACCTGAGGAGGTGCTAGGGAGCGACAGGGTGCAAGCAGAGCCATGCTGGACCCCTCCCCGGCACACAGCTGGGGGAGAACCGGGGGGGCCCTGCAAGCCCTCGCTCCTGAAATCAGGGTGTTGTATTTACTTTCCCCTTTTGGCAGCTAGAAGGGGAAGCCCATCCCAGCCCCTCATTGTTGTCTCAGCGAGTTAATCAGATGCCATAATCCTGTTGTGGAAATATCGGGCCTCCCTGGAAACAATGGGGAGCGAGAATATTGTGGTTAAATTTCAACCAGCTGCCTCCCTGCTCTGTTTGATCCCCGCCCGCAGGCCCGGGCCCCTGGCGAGCAGGCGGCGCGGCAGGGGCCGGAGCCCCGGGGTGCCACCCCGAACCCACGCCGCCACGGGGGAACCCCTGCGGGACTCCCCGGGGGAAGGGGGTGTACGGTGTGTGGCAGGACCGGCGCGCCTCGGGGCGGCGGCGGAGCTGTCCCTGGGGGCAGGTGGCTGCGGGCACCCCCGGCGGGGTGGGCTGCGGGCCTCGGGGCTCGGCCGGGGGGGGAGGAGGCTGCGGGCGGCCCGGGGCAGGTTCCGCGGGGAGGAGGCGAGAGAGGGAGGGCGCTGGGAGGCTGGGACACGGGCAGGGTGCGGTCCTGGCGGTTCCCGGTCCCGGATCTCTTCAATTTCCCCTCTCACTCCTGCTCGGGGAGCGCAGGCAGCGGCGGCTCCGGCTCCGGCTCTAGCCCCGCCACGCTGACCGCCGGGGCGCAAACCGCGGGGGGCTCCAGCAGCGCTGAGCCCCGCAAGCGCCCGCTCGCCTGCCAAAACAAACGGCCCTTCGCTATTTATTGCCGCCGCCGGGCCACAGCAGCTCAGAGCGGGCCGACGCCAGCCCGCCGCACCGGGCAGCCAGAGCGCACCCGCGCCGGGCAGCCGCCGCACCCCGCCGCTGCCTCTACCGGCACCGGCACCTGCCCGCCGCCGGCTGCGCGCCGCATGGGGAGCCCCGGGGCGGGCGGAGGGAGCGGCGGCAGAGCCT